TTAGGGTCTACATACCTTTTGACAGATGATTTTCCAGAAAATATAAAAGGCATAAATAAATGCAGCTCTGCAATCTTTAATACATCATTGAATGCATTTTTTTAAATTGTAGTACAAAAGGAAAAAATGGTGGTCAAATCCTGGGTATTAGGTGCCAACCCCTAATTCATTTATCCAACAAAAAAAAAGTGTGCGGCAAGGGACGGACGGCCACACACCAGCGGCTTCCATGTGGGCCAAGGCTCAGGGGACCATATTACTTGGGATGGTAACTGCTTCTTCCCGCTATCAACACTTTTTGAGTTCTTCCCGATTCATCAGTGGAACCCCGATACTTGATATTGATCGGTGACCTTGAAGTATCCGCTTTTTCAACACAAGGGATTAAATTAATTAACCACCCATACCCAACTTTTGCGGTCCTGATGCATTTTTCCCCACTACTTCGGGACATCAATTTGTTGTTTCTTTTAAACTTTATGGTCATCACCACAGGCGTGCATCCAACGGCTCTACCTGGGGTTGATTGCCTCCCTTCTGATGAAGTGCGATCATTGCGTGAAACGCGTTGAATACACCATCCACTCTCGTGGTTCCAGCTAAGACTTGTGAATTTATTGATGATAATCATGTTTCATGTCATTCATTTTTGATGCATCGAATTCTTAAGTTATTTTGACCTATTTATGTCACATGTCAACTCTATCATGTTTATCTAGTATGTTAATTCTGGAACTGAGTGGATTAGGAGGCTTCTACTGTAGTTTTTAATTATGGCCATCTTCTTTATAACCTTTTTTTATCAATTAATCAATAAAATAATATTTTGAATCCATTTTTAAACTCTGTGACTTGTCATTTTTGGTGCCTCAAAAACCCTACTTTCTCTTGCTTGTTTTTTTTTTTTTTAAATTGTAAGCAGAGTAAGTACCTTAATTTGACCTGGCGTCAGCCTTTTGCAGTTATGATAGGAGCACAGCACAGGGTAACAGAGAGATGAGCTCATCAGTGTGCTACTTCTTCCCCCTCTCCCTGCAAAACATAACTGTGGTGTGAGGCAGGGCTGTAAATCTGAGGACTAGATGAACAGAAATATAAATCATTCGGCAGTCAAAACAGCTCCCTCTGATGTATTTCATGTTTGAATTTAGTGAGGTTGTAGCATGGCATTCGCTCCTTTGATGCTGGTGGCTTCAGAAGAAAAGATGCCAGTGTTGCTAATAGAGGGTAAAGGTGGAGACAATAGGGTAGTGAATAATGTCATTTGGCAGGGAACAAAGGCATAGCATACTGTAGGCATCCTGGGATTACCTGTTGGGACTGACTAGCCAGGCGGTAACATGGTGGCTCATCATGATGTCTATATCCGTATATAGGTAAGCCATTATATGTTGATTCATCACTAATAGTTCCAACAAGGGGGCCAAACTGAACCTTTGCCCAGCAGCCCTCTGCTGTCTCTATCTTTGCCCCATGCTGAGACTCTTAAAATAATTGAAAATGATGGCTTGCACTCAGCCCTGCAAGTGGTATACATACGATTTTACTGGCAGTAAACTATGCCTGAACGAACAGAAATCATCGGTCATCCCCATTTGAGAGACGCATGCAGTTATTTTTCTGTAGCAGTAGTCTGCCAGTGAAATGAATTGCAGGCGCTATTTTACAGGACCTCTTTAAATAAAAGAACCCTTCAATTCTTTCATGAAGTAGATTACATTACAGTAGATACATTTTTGTGGTTGTTGAACAGAAAGGAGACATTTAACTGAGACGCCCCATTTAGTGCAGAACACGAGAATTAAAGAAGGGTAGAAAAATGCTGAACCACATAGCAATGTCCATCTGTTTAAAGTTTACATCAGATTTCTTAACTTGTTCAAAACCGAAAACCCTGAAAAGAACAAGTCGGTTCTCTTAGTTAAAATATTCTGTAACTGAACCCAGTTGGTAACATCTACATATGAATTCCAGCATTCATCTAATGCAGAGGTCTGCTGCGCTAGGCAATTCTGAATGGCTGCCAGCACCCTTCTCTAAATGGCCCTACAGCTGAAATTCTTCCCTTTCTGCTCAACCGGATCTCACAGGTAATGCAGAAACATCTCAAACAAAGTGTATCTAAGGCCAAACACATCTTTTAGTTTTGGACAAAGCATAGAAGGGTCAGAACTGCTATTGGGTTTTTATTGATTTCTGTGTCTTCAATGGGGAAATAGACCGTCTCTTAGTTCTTGATGACCATTGTCACTCAAAAGTCATGGGAAATCCAAAATAGTATGGTTGTCACCAGAACAGGAGGTCATAGGTAATTCTCCAGCGTGGACACCTTTTTCAATGACAACTGTCTAGTGCAGTGGTTCTCAACCTGTGTAATCTCAGGCCCCACATTTGTCCTTGGTCATTAAGTCGTCTGGACGGGCCCTCAAAAACACTAACGGACGCATACAACCACAGACACAATCTCATACACACTTTAAAAAACTTATAAAAAATGTGTTTTTTTTTAAGATCCACCCAGCTCCCTACCTTATGAGAACTGGAGTGGATCCTCACCCTCGGGTCCAGTTGGGGCTGCTGTGCTGGACAGAGCTTCATATGTGCATTGCTTGTACAGCTCCCTTACGCACCCTGTAGCCAGAATGTGGTGTCACTCGGGTCCAGGCACCTTTACAGGGCACGCAAAGGAGCTGTAAGCAATTCTCCCTCCCAGGCATACCAAAAGGCCTACCCCATCTCATGCTGACACTCCGTGCCAGGCAGCATATTTTGAATGGCTGCTTGGTGCAAGTACTAGGAGGAGGCTGAGGAGCCTCTCACCTAGCACAGTGAAAGGCACATTGTGACCTACTTTTGGGTTGCGACCCACCAGTTGAGAACAAAGGGTCTAGTGCAGTGACCTGGGCTGTGCCGCACCGGATAAGTGCAGGTCACCGTTAGGACACATAAAAAACAATTTCTTTCTATGTGTCCCATTTATACCACAAAGCGGGTGTGATGGGTGGATTGCTGCACTACGGTAAAGTGCAAACATGCTGCCAAAGGTTGCTGCACGGCAGGGCAGCAGACCGCGCTACCATGCAGGGACCTGAATGGAGTATACACTTCATTGCTCTCTAGCTCCCTCATCAACTCCTCCCATGCTCACCTCCAGGACTACCCTAGAGTCTCTCCCATCCTTTGGAACTCCCTACCCCAACCTGTTTGGCTATCTCTCACTTTGTCTGTTTTGGCAATCCATGAAGACTCATCCCTTAAGGGATGCCTGTCCCGCCACAACCTAACCACTGAACTATCACTTTCTCAAACAAATCATCCCCACACAGCTACTACCTCTTGTATCACTTTCCCCTCCGTTTTAGATTGCAAGCTCTCATGGGCAGAGCTCTCCTTACCATCTTGTCTTGATTTGTATTGTAATGTCTTCTTTACATTGTAAAGCACTGCACAAACTGTTGGCGCTATATAAATCCTGTATTATAATAATAATGATAATACCCATCGTACACAACGCTTTAGCCCGTGCGATAAAAAGGGGATAGCACTAAAAGAGGATTCCCATTCACTTTGAAGAGATTTCCTCCCCCTTTTTATGTTGTGACTCTGGCACAGGAAGTGTAAGGAAATCTCCACAATATGACACTGTAGGCCCACAAGGTCCTTGATTCACTCTGTTCATGAGCTGTGGATTTCAGCAGAATTCTTATACCATGTTACATTTAGGGCCCATTCACACCACATCCAGATTACCTCCAGATCAGACCGGATTTTTTTCTTGACCCAAATTCTAATGTATCCCTATGCTATTTCTGGGCTCTGTTCCCACCAGCGCAGTCTGTTCCAGACCAGACCAAAAACAGCTTTTGGCCAACTTGGATGATATAATCACCATTGGACTTCCTGTGCTGAGGAGAGGAAATTTTGCACGAGAAAGGAATGATAATGGCTTAAGTAGATACAGAATATTTTGTGGAACTTGTAGAGCGTTACCCTGAACTGTATGACCCAAAGCATGGGCAATATAAAAATAATGTCCGCAAAATTGACACATGGAGACGCATTGCTGCACAGGTCATTCCTGATTATAACATGAGCAGTGCAGAAAAGCAGGCCTCTGATGAGTGCACAATACCTTTACATATAGGTGATTCCTGTCTGCTCCCCACCTTTCAACACACAAACAGTAGTGCTCAGAAGCAGAAGGAAGTGACCCTAGAGCATTATTAGCATACTGACAGCCCAAATAAAATAAAAAAATGGAACGCGTCATAACCGCGTCTAAACACAATACACCATGTTCCAGATCTGGTCCAGAAAATGGTGTGAACCCAGCCTCATGTACATTGGGTATGTTAGATGACTGCCATGCTCTGTGGTTTCATTCACCAGCCCCTAAGTGACTACAGGACACAGAAGTAATATAGTGGCTGGCGTGAGGAACCACAGCATACAGGAAGAGACCAGGGACCCAACACACCAAGAAGTGGGATGTATGTGAAGATCCTGCTCAAAGCCGTAGCTCCTGAAGACCATGAAGCAAGGCTTCGGTGCCCATCGGTAGGTAGAAAGTCTTCTTTTATACGCATTTTTGTTTTTAAATATATTGTTTTTAGAAGTGGTAGAGTCATTTTAAAGCCAATCACACATGGGAAAATAGTCAATTTTTTTTTAGATTAATCACACCATAGAGAGAGTTCTAACGCCTGCCACAAGCACTTCTATTACTCCAAGTATTAGGACCAACCCATTAATATTCTACAATGCTTGGTTATCTTTTGGGAGTCATCAAAAAATAACAAACATTATCCTAACAAATTTCTTATACAGCAAAGGTTTGTGATGGCAATGGTGGATTCCCAAGTTCTCCTTATGCGATTGTTCTAGCACCATACACATGGCTATATTAACAATGGATCATGCAACAATCTACTCCTATACATGACTTTGGCTATGGCTTTACTATAATTTGTAGGAGTCAGTTTGGTAGATCTGTGACTTACGCTGTTTTTCCTTCGCTGTCCATCTTGGTGGCCACCACTCCTTTCTTCCCCAGAAGAGCAGACACTTTGTCCGTTTCCCCATGATCCACAGCTTGTAGCAGACGTTCGTCATTCTTGTTCCACTCATTAGTCTGCAAGAAGAAAGAATAGACATTACTGGTCGTTGCTTGCCACAATCCAGTTCCTGATGTGATACGTAGAAGTCACAAAATACCTGGAACCTCATGCACACCCCTAAAACAAAAGGGAAATCAGAGCTTAAAAAATCAATTTCAGATCTAAGTGGCAGCTACAGAGCTCTGAGCAGACCTGTGCAATACGTAAAGCTTGACCTTCAGCAGCGTAACATTACTGGCCGTACATAATGCACTGAAGGCCGCCGCTTCACAAACAGAAGGTAAAAAAAAAAAAAAACTCCTACGCATTGCTAGTAACTTAGAATGTCTCCTGAGATAGGCCTGGTATTTGCTGACAGAGAAAGCTGACCATTAAGACTAAAGTGAACCTCTTTAATCAGTTTCAAGACAGATCCAAGGTAAAGGAAATGTAAAATTACATAGTGAGAAGTCTAAGAAAAGTGTAAGGGAAGGAAAAGGATACTGTGCGCTGAGGGATAATAATTTTCCCAAGCAGCCTTAACTATAGAGCAGACGGCGTAATAGCCAAACATTAACCATGGAAATTTGACTGCTACTACAAAAAATTCCAGGCTTTCGCAGCTTCATGTGTAAAATCTGCACTCATTGAAGTCTCTTGAGATCACCAAATAATCAGCTTCTGCAGAGATATACAGCATACAACGACAACAATGTGCATCTGTAAGAACGATTGTAGACGAACAAGGTCTAGCGCAGTACAGAAGTCATCAAGCGCATTTTGTTTAAAGCCTAACTTTTTTTTATTTTAAATATGGACCTCCTTAACTATGGACCTCCTTTATTAGGGCTATAGAAAGTAAAATATACAATAAAAATACAGAATATCAATATTCAATGGAAGATTAATACACAAAATATATAATAAAATATAGGGATGCACTGATATATCGGCCGAAAATGGCACTTTTGGCAAAATGCTGAAAGTGTTATTTTCTGGCCGAAATAGTGGTGCATCAGTTCTTTCTCTCCTCCCTGCTGTGCATTGCTCTGTGTCCCAGCAGGGAGGAGAGAAACTGTCACAGGCGGCCAAGCGCTGTGGGAGGAGAGCGCTGTGAGCAGCCGGCATCTCTCCTCCCTGCACCGCTCAGCCTCCTGTCACAGATTGGGAGAGCGGTGAAAGGGCAGAGACAGCTATTTCTGTCACAGAAGGCTGAGCTCTCCTCCCGCACCGCCTCCTGTGACGCTGGAGGGCAGCGGTGTGGGTGGAGACAGATTTCATTGCTGTCCCAGGAGGCTGAGCTCTCCTCCCGAACCGCTCAGCCTCCTGTGACAGCGAGTCAGGATGGAGAGCGGGTACAAGCAGTCAGTGATTCTTGAATGTTTGTAAATAATTGAGGACATAGCATGATTACTATATCCTCAGTTATGAATGAATGGGAGTGATCTACGTCACCTCATGTTCATTCATGATTGTGGTTATAGTAAACACACTCTGTCCTCATGTTATGAATGAACAGGAACACTCAGTATAGAGGATTCCTGTTCATTTATAACAGGGGCTGCAGAAAAAGAGATTGAGGACGCTGTATCCTCAATCTCTCTTTTTCTATTTAAAAAGGAAAATATCAGGGGTCTGTTTAGACCCCTAATATTTCCACAAAGACCCTAAAAGCAAAGTAATTGTTCTGAATAAAAATTAAATATAAAAAAATAAAACCTTTATAAAAAATAAGTAAAAATAATATATTTTGAAAAAGTTAGAATAAAAAACATTTTCAGTTTCGGCCTGACATTTTTTTTTCATTTCGGTTTCGTTTTTTACATTTTCATTTCGGTACACCTCTAATAAAAAATACAAAAATACTCGTGCCTATCCTACATGCAGGGAGGGATCAGAAGTACAGCCAGAGCTGGGAGCCCCCGGGACAAACTAAAAGGACTCTTTAAAAAGAAAAAGTTTAATAAAATAATAATAGCCCAAAGGATAGAGAAAAAAAAGAAGCAGCTTTTGGAATACTCACCTTCAATACACAGCCACAGTATTCTGGGTTGCATGACAGCCAGCATCATTTGAGTTAAGCTGTCATGGACCCTCCCCTAACCTGTGACTGGAAAGTGAAGAGAGAAGCAGAACAGTTATGAGCTTATCTCTCTGCCAGTCTGCTTCTCTCTATCAGCATGCTCCTTGTCAAACACAAGATTAAGAGTCACTACTCTTCAATTGTAACAAACTGCACAATTCTTTTATAGGATCAGTTGTCTTATAAATTTAGTTGCAATTGGTAAGGATACTCTCCGCACACCTTTCAGCAGTCCCGGCCAATAAATGAAGATGGTGCTTGCAGTAACTCCACGGATGGCACCGTGCAAAATATACAATTGGAAGAATAGGTCACCAGCACTCCAAATAGTTAAAATGAATAAGTCCTTTTTATTGGACAATGGTGTCACAAAAATCAAAGCAGAGCCGACGTTTCAGGGCCGCGCAGGGTCCCTTCCTCAAGGCAAGAGATGGGGAAAAAAAACTTGACTTTGTGTTTCAGCCCTTCTCTATCCAAAATGAAAAAAAAAAAAGGCATTAGACATACTTCAAATATGAATAATGTCAGATAGGTGATTTTAGTATGGAACATTCCTCTGCACAGTTGTACATTTCTGCACGGTTCTTGATAAAAGTGTACCGTATTTAGAAATAATGTGTCGACGCTGATCAATACCACCACTAGGGTCGGTTGTCTCCTGCTGTGGCTGCTCTTATATTAAAGAGCATTTTCTTTAGTGCAGGATGTCAGCTCCCAAAAATCGGTAAACACAATTCTTTTACTGAGCAATGCCGCCTCATAGGGGTTCCTATGTGTTCGCTCACTTCCCGATCTACTGAGCTGACCTGTGACAGTTTCATTGTCACAGGTTGGCTAGAACTATGAGGTGCGTGAAAAGCACTCACCTCATAGATCTCCTATGAGAACTAAACTAGCGTCCTCCCATGACCCAAAGCTCAGTATTTTCCCGAGCTACAGCTCGCGGTATACTGAGACTGCCGCAGCCGGGACGGATCCCGATATTACTGTTGAGATCCACCCAGCTGCGTGAGTGACAGCTGGCTCTACCTATCTAGAGGCAGAGCAAGCTGTACCCGCCCCTCCCCGTCCGTTTCTCCAGTCAGCGCTGGAAGATTGGAGCAGGGAGGGGGGAATCCCTGCAGGGAGATGATCGAGAAGTGAGCGAGCAACGGTATGTGTTCATTCACTTCCCGATCTATTGAGCTGACGTGTGAGCTTCATTGTCACACATCGGCTTGAACTATGAGGTTGAGTGGAAATCCCTTCCCTCATAGTTCTCCTTTAACCTGCCACAGTAGCCACTAAGATCAGCACCGGGCATCACATTTGTTTTTAGGCCATTGACTAGCAATGTGTGCTCAGAGACTATTTGTTTTAAACTAGTAAAATTCTAAGAGGAAAAAACTGGCCTAGCCATAAAAGCTAGTGTAGCCTGTAGCCCTTGATCTGTTGTGTTTATAGATAGCTGTGGCCAAGTCATGGTGTTTAAAATAGAAGTGAATCACATGTACCACAGGGTCTGTGTGTCTTCCATATTTTGTTTCATTGCTTCCATGTTGTCTCATTTCTTGTGAATAAAGTGAGAAGTATAAACCCTTCCATTTGCTGACAGTAGTGACCTCTTGGCTCATTTCTGTTTGTTTAGTATTTTGTGGCTTTGTAGCTGTGGACAGTAACCTGGATTTTCTAGTAAGAGGAATTAGGTGGTGTGTGAATAGTTATGTGCTTACATATGTCTTATCAAAATGTGTCCTACTTTGGACATTGAGAGGTGAACAACAAATGTTTTCTACTTTTCAAGAACCTCAGTTTAATTGCATGTGATTGTCTTATTTTATTTATTAACATGCATATATGACCAAGACAAGTTTCAAGTCTCCTTTTCCACATATTTTGTACATGCTGGTGCTTTATAATATATGTAAGGTGATTCGCCACCGTGTCATATTGCACCTCATAAAACTGGGAAACAATCTTACCGAGGAAAAACTTGATGGCATGTATCCAGCAAATCACCCAATAGTTTCCCTTCTGTATTTACACAGCATGGTAAGCAACCACAGCCAGAACATCATTGCTGCTCTGCTGTTGGACATATTGTCACAAGCTCTCTCCTTGGCTTGTATCATTAACCCCTTCGTGACGGGAGACGTACACTGTACGTCCAGCCACAAAGGGACCAAATGACTCGTCACGTACACTGTACGTGACGAGTTATTTGCTGCACTAGAAGGCTGCTAACCGCTGAGAATCAGCGGTTACCTTTCAGTAATGGATGTCTAACTATCTAGAGATCCATTACTGAAAGGGTTAACCTTTTTCAGACACCCGATACCTTAATATCGGGTGTCTGAGAGTCACAGCAAAGCAGACACACTTCGGCTTTTGCCGGCATTCTGACAGCTCTCTCTCTCAAGCTATACTGGCTTTATTTTTTTTTATCTTTTGACTTTCAAGAATAGATACAAAATGTTATGTATTAGACACATAATGTATCTATTCTTGAAAGTAGAATGTTTAAGTTTTCTGAAACATTCACTGACAGCTGAATCCTGAACTGCTGCAGGATCAGTGTCACTAACTTATTATCGGCTGTTCTGAAGTTTGAAGCAGCCTGATAATAAAAAAAATGTATTAATTTATCAAGCAGTAATAGTGAGATTAATTCACAATGACTGCCTGATATAATTAAATAAATAAAATTTGTCAGTATAAAAAAAGTGAAAAGTGTAAATAAATTAAAAAAAATAGTGAAAAGTGTAAAAAAATTAAAAATAAGGGACAAATAAATGAATGTATGTATTGCATTTTTTTTTAGCTGTGCTGGTTTTGTTAAAAAAAAATACTACAAATCAAAACTGGGAAAAAAAGTTTTTTTTTACGTTTTTTCCTCTTTTTTTAATTTGTATTTGTCCTAAGTGAGGCGTTAGACACACATATGTGATATAAATATATAGCCCTATCTGTCCT